TTCTCCCTCTCCCACTCCCCCTGCTTGTGTTCCCTCTCTCACTGTGTCTCTCTCTGTCAAATAAATAAATAAAACCTTTAAAAAAAAAAAAAGAAACTAGAGGGACGGTACTTCTAGAGTAACAGAGATCAGCTTGTGTATTATATAAATGATGATTGATTTGGGCATGTCTAAATTCTAAAAAGCAGAGCCAAAATAGAGGTAACCTTGTCATTTTGGATTTGATTTGGCTGCATGTGTCCAAAAACAAAAACAGTGGCTTAAACATCATGGACATGTATAAAGAAATACCGAGGTAGGCTTCCCCCAGACAGATTGTGTAGCTGCATGACCATCAGGGACACGCAGGCCTCTGCATTACACTGCACACAGCCTTTTTTGTGGACTAAGACGGAGCCCCAGCTGCAGCCACCCACCCCATTCTAGGACAGGGAAGGGACAGGAAGGGTGTTGCCTCCTCCCTTTACTTCCTCCAACTCCTGCACGACACTGCTTACATTTCATTGGCCAGACCTTGGTTCCGTGGCCACTCCTAGTTGTGAGGGAGACTGGGGAATGTTGCCCTGCCCACTTAAAGTTCCACTTCTTAAGCCTAAGGAAGAAGGGAGAATGGATATTGGCCAACAGCTAATAGTCTCTGCAATACCCTAAGACAAGATTGCTATATATATTTGACTAAATCTTTGTTTTTATCATGTGGGACATAGAGGTGAAAAAATTAGAAACATCTAGGTGGGGGGCACAGTCGGTTGAGCGTACAACTCTTGGTTTCAGCTCAGGTCGTGATGTCAGAGTAGTGAGATCGAGCCCCACTTCGTTGGGGGGAGTGTGCTTGAGATTCTCCCTTTCCCTCTGCCCCTTCCCCCTAAAATCAATCAGTCAATCAAAAGAAAAAGAAAAGAAAAGAAACCTCTTGTGGTAGCCCTACCCCCTGATAACGTTTGGTTTGCCAGCACACTTCAGGTAAAATCACATACACAAAATTTGACTTCTTTCTTCTTGGCTTTTCTCTCTTTCTTTTTTTTAAAGATTTATTTATTTGAGAGAGAGCGTATGCATGAATGGGAGGGCAGAGGGAGAGGGAGAGAGAATCTCAAGCAGACTCTGTGCGGGGCTCGATCCCAGGACCTTGAGATCATGACCTGAGCTGAAACCAAGAGTCGGACACTTAACCGATTGCGACCCCCAGGCACCCCTTAACTTTCCTCTTGTAAGTGAATGAAGAAAGCAGAGTAGGGCTGCTGGGTCACTAGTTCCCGCTTCCACATAGAGGACACTGTCCTCCACAGTGACTGTCCATACCCTGATTTTAGAGCTCTTCATCCCAACTGTGTGAAATACCTAATTGTAGAACTTTAACTTTGGTTATTGTGGATGTATTGTATGGCACATTCTGTTATTGAAAAGTGATATGAATATGGACTTCGTTTTTAGTTGGGTAGATATTAGGGTTAACAAAAGAAGGAGGAAAGAGCCTCACTTTCTGGAGTTTAGGTTTGAAACATAGGAGAATAGTAGAGGGCAGGGCAGTTGCATGGTCTAAAGAGAGAACAGACTAGAGCCAGCTTTGCCCAGCTCTTTCTACTCGTACACTCCTAGGAGCTTGCTAATGCCTCACACAGGTCTGGTGCACCCCAGGCAGAGCCCTGGGACAGTCACCAGAGTTTGTGATGTGGACCTAAGCTTATGAATGCATCAGTGCATTCTGACTAGCTGGCTAGCTAAAGATTTCTTCCCTTACCTTGGAACATCAAAGATTTGTCTGCCTGTCCTTCTCTAACCATCACCAGCCCCTCCCGGAGTGACCTGCCCTCGGTACACATTGCATGCTTGTGCACACTCTCACACACATGGAAAAGGGTCTCTGAGAAATTATGTTGGAGCCACCTAGATAGAAAGTAAAAACATACAGTTTTGTCAGAAGAGTAGCCGTGTGTCCATTACTAGTCCATCCGAGATGCTGTCAAACAGAAGAACAACATCTAGTTTCTGTAGATGTTCTGAGCGTGTGATGTTCTTTACCCTATGTAGCCTGAGACTGAGGGTGAAGAGGGAAGTCATTGGCATTTGTACATGTGTGTGTTGGAGCACGTACCTGCAAGTATAAGCTAGAGCTGCAAGCCCAGAATGCCCGCGTCGGCGCGAGCTGAGATGTGTGGGATGGACGGTGCAGTGCTGTCAGCGTTTCTGTCTTTCCAGGTCATGATGGCTTTGTCCAATCACCTGAACGCTGTTGAGTCCGAGAAGCAGAAACTGCGTGCACAGGTTCGTCGGCTCTGCCAGGAGAACCAGTGGCTGCGGGACGAACTCGCCAATACGCAACAGAAATTACAGAAGAGTGAGCAGTCTGTGGCTCAACTGGAGGAGGAAAAGAAGCATCTGGAATTCATGAATCAGTTAAAAAAATACGATGATGACATCTCTCCATCCGTAAGTGGCTCAGTAGGAATGCAGCATTGACAGTTAACCATGTTATAGTTGGTAGGTTGTTTTAGTCAAGCTGTCCGTGTTTTCCCCTCCCCTCTGGTGATTGCACTGAGCAAGACCAGAGGCTGTGGGTCTTGGGACTGGGCAAGTCATAGAGGTCTCCTTGCCGTACGCTTTTCATAGATGTGTTTTATTTTAATTTTTTTTTTAAGGGATATATATATTTTTTT